TTGTATTAGAACCCTTCCCCGCCCATACACGTTAGTGTTTTTCGAGCGTCGTGCAAATGGGGTACGGTACTACTCCGGTCTCAAGGGGTTAAGCGCCTTTAGTTTTTGCATGAAAATCCTTGCAACAATATCGGGTCGATCAGAAGCTTTCTGTCCACGCCGTAGATTTTCCTTGATTTCCGTCCGATTGGGGTTACATGTCATAATGATAAACAAACTTGGAGCCTCAGTCTCTCGAACGATAGCCATAGCGTCCAAGAATCTCTGGTACATGTACCGAGGTCCACCGATGAATGAGGGGGGATGATGACCTTACGTCCAGTTTCAACGGCCTCAATTTGATAGGACTGGTCTTCCGAACGACTTGCTTGTCGAGTGGATGCGCGCCTCTGACGGACTTCTTCATCAGCGGCCGTCTAACAAGGACGACGACGGTGTATATGTCCTAGCGACGTCAATCAGATTGACGTCGACTGTCTTGACAGCATAATCCGGTTGTCGCAACAACGCGTCCGCGACGACATTCAACCTTCCGGGTTTGTATTCAACCCGGAAGTTGTTCTCCGCGAAGAAGGACAACCATCTCGTCATTTGTTGCGAGATGTGCGGAGACTTCACAGCCGTCCGCAACGACGCGTGGTCCGTATAGACCACAAACGGCGTGTTGCCGAGTAAGTGCACTCGGATCTTCGCGAGTGCATACTTCATGGCTAGGAGTTCCTTGTCATGTACCGAATAGTTTTGCTCAGCTGGCTTTAGTCGACGCGACTGATAGTAGACAACTCGATCGTGGCCTTCGTGATCGAGTTGCATTAACGCACATCCAATCGCGAAATCGGATGCTTCACACACTACGTGAAATGGGCGATCTTGGCCAGCTACAGCCAAGACCGGCGCCTCAGTCAAGCCCAGCTTGACTGCAACGAACGCCTGCTGACACTCAGCAGTCCATTCCCACGCAGCTTCCTTCTTCAGAAGCTGCGACAGCAGGCGGATCTTGCCTGCGTAGTTGTCCACGTATTTGCACAAGTACGTGGCAAAGCCACGAAACTGCCGCAGGTCCTTCACGTTGGATGGCATAGGCCATTCATTGATCACTCTAACATTCTCGGGGTCAGGGCGTACGCCATTCTTTCCAACGAGACACCCTAGAAAGGGTATCTCGCTCGCACCGAAGATGCACTTCTTCAGGTTCCCATAGAGCTTGTGCTTGCGCATGAGCCCAAGCAGTTCTCGGAGATGCTCCTTATGTATCTCGATTCCCGTCTTCTTGTCCACAGCCCGGCTGTGAATGTACACAACGTCGAAGTAGCTTGGTGCGAAGTCGCGCACTGAGCGCAATAGATGCGTGACACATGTATTGAAGGTCGCAGAGCGTTCTTCAGTCCTTGCAGCATAACTAGCCACTTCCAAAAGCATACCGCTTGGAGTGCTTACCGCCTTGAGAGGGATATCGCTCTCGCGCATAAGGATCTAATAGAACCCGTCTCTTAGATCAAGAGCACTGTAGATGGTGCTCTTGGACATCGAATCGAGGATGGCGTCTTTTTGAGGTATCGTCTGTGCCGGTATCGTCGCATCGTTCATCTTATTGTACGCATGAACGATGTGCCAACCACCCTGTGGCTTCTTGACACAGAACGTTGGTGCACTGTGCGGGGACATTGATTCTCGCACTTGCCCGCCTCACGACGACTCTAGAAGAAGTAGTCGATTGCCTTCACTTGCCCCCACGCCAGTGGCCACTGCAGCGTCACACAATACTTCGCCCCCGGCACGAGATCAATCTCGTGCTGTATTCCCTTGTCCTGCAGGAACTCCGCAGGGATCTCGTCCGGAAGCACATCTCTGTGCTTTCGCAGAATCTCGTAGTAGGGAATCGACTTCAGTGAGTCCCAACTCTGCTCCTCGAAGCGTTCCTTCTTTGTCTTGGGACTGAGAGTATCCTCACTCTCAGTGGCTCTTCCAGAGAAGAGTTTGCCTCACCTCTTCTGCTTCGCTTGTCATACTTTCGCGGTCCGAAAGAATGCATAGCTGTTCGACACGTCCATCGAACAGGTCCTTCGCGAAGCGCTTCCAGCTCATGACTGGAAGCGAGCTCAACTCCGACATATCGGTCGGAGGGTTCTCCAACTCCACCTTCTTGTACTGGTACCCAGCACAAGCCCGCGTCAAGACGTTCATTGTCTTGACGACACTGTCGGCTCTTGTGTCTGCCCGGCAGACATACCTTGAAGAGTCTCGATCCCCGACCAAGACTTGCGCAGCGTCTTGTGTTTGCGCCGTCGCTTCTTCTTGTGAATCCCAGATTCACTTGTTTTTCGTTCAGGCCCGGCCATGGACGAATGTTCCTTGATATTACCGACAGACATTACGGTCTACGGGCGACCGCCGGCGGGGTTTTGTATCCGCGGGCATGCGTCATCTAGCCCACTAGTAATGCGTTGAGTCCATGTTGGCAGCGAGGGAAGTGACGGATTCCCGGCAGAGGCTGGTGTAGTATATGAAACCTATCGGTCGTGAAATTGAATCGTCATAGCATCCACTCATGCCCGGTACATGTCAGTTGACCCATCAGTGTGGACTGAAGTTACTTGGGTCATCTCCATTTTGTACGGCAGCCTTCTTGATTGCACTCGACAGGTGTATCGTTGAAACGCACGCCGGCTGGCCTGTCCGCCCCAGGGATACCGCCGCCGGGATTCCGAGAGGAAGGTCTCGTCTTGATCTTAGAAGTAGCAGATCCCCGAAAACTGGACACACGAAAGCGTGCTCTGATAGATACAACACACGAGCGGTGGCATGTCCAAACTGATAGGACTTGGAACCGCGAAGTCCCATGTGTATATATCGTGTTGCCGCGGCTGATAGTGTCAGGTCTCCAGATATATCAAGGACGGCTAGGCCCCCGGCTCTAAGCGCGAACCACTTGAACGCGTTTCCGCTAATGGAGACAATTTCTGAGCGTCTCAGCAGGAAGAAGAAGGCCACACCGACCCCCCAGAGAACTTGGGCGAAGAATCATCTAACCGGAGAGAACGGAAGCAGGTTTCGAGGAGCCGAATAGACACAGGAGCTTTGTGTCGCGAGGATGTATCAAGCCGAGTGATCCCCTTCAGAAGCGTGCGAACATGTGGGTGTGCCATTGGAAGAACTCTCCAGGCAGCAGCAGAGAAGTGCCGGATTCCTTGGAGCGTGTTGATAGTTGATGTTCCTCGTAGCGACCCGCCAGCGCCAAACCCATATTGAAATCCGTGCACAATGAAGTCTGAAAGCACTTGAATGCGGCCCTCGTCGGTTAAATAGGATAGCCATGGTTCAATTCCCCGGCGTGATGCCCACACGTCCATTTATTCGTCGCTCCAGAGTACTTGGTGAAGATGGAGTCGACAACGGAATGCACGCGAAGATATTGCACCAGAGTGTCGAAAGATCGTCGACGACAATCATCGGAGATACCTGGGTCCAACCACGAGTTAGCCCTCCGAAGTGAGTAGCATAAGACGGGTGTGCGGCGATGCGCGATCCAGCATCTGCGCGTGCGTTGTCGGATCCGGCGATGTGAGACGCTGAGAAACGAAGGTTGAGGGAACTCTCCCAGTAACCCAGGAGCCGGATGATGTCTTGAGCGCGCGTGTTACGGGAAGCTGAACTGTGGAGTTCGCAGCATTTGCAGAGTTGGTGGTTCACACGAGGTATGTGCACCATATCACTCATTTGTGTGTAAAACACCATTTTCTTTCGTACCTCCAGGAAATCATCTATCACGAGGACGCTGAGAAGCGGCAGATCACGCACTGGTTCCCGTGCATGATGCATTTCTTTTGCCGTACTTGAATTGCACGTAACAATGTCGTAGGAGCTAAGATCATTGCGATTAATCTTAACTTCAACATTCAGTTTCTTGCATATAGGCTTCAACATGTCCATACCCAGGTGGACCACCATAGCCATAGCTTGGATAGCCGTAGCCGTAAGAGGAGTAATAATCGGGGTAGTAGCCATATCCGTCGTAGTTATTGTCATAACGACCGTATCGTGTGTTGTAGCTGTAACAGTTGTTGCCGTAGTTGTCATTACCATAGTAATCGTTGTCCTTACCATAACTCTTGTAACCGTAGCTGATGTTGCCCTTCTGATCGTAGTCATCATAGTGTAGTCATCGCGTTCATCGTTGTACTTGTTAATAACTGTACTCCAAGGACTCCGTAGATTTGAACCTGTTCACATGGCAACTTCTTTGCGACCCCGGCCGTCGTCGATTGCATTCCCTCTGGAACGAGCCGGATTCGCATTTAACCGAAATTATCGGCTTCGTTAGATATTAGAGCTCTTAAGCTGGAGGTACGAAACGTGTTTTGGAACCAAAAAAAAATCAGTTCTCACTTTCGTTTCGTGTATTCGCAAACCAGGCCATAAGCGCGGTTGTGGCAACGACACGAAATCAGCCAGCATTTCCCCCACAGTCCGCCATGACTACAGACAGCGAGAGGGAGAGTGACAGCGCTCCTGAGAGCTCACCCATTCCCAACGACGAAAAGGCAGAGCCTATTATCCTGTTGGCGCAAACTCAAGAAGCCCCCGCCCCATCCGAACAGCTGCAGGACGAGGCTGAGACGCACTCTCGCTTCAATACTACGGCAGATACCCAGTTGCTCTCCGAAGTGCTATCCAAGCCACCATTTGGCGCCACGTGGGGGAAGGTGAAGGCGTTTTTGCGTTTTTCACTTGACAGGCGCAACAGGAGGATCACCTGCTGGCGTCGTGCCCTCGGAATAGCAGCGTAATTTCTTGGCAGAGCCATCTTTTCTTTGTCAGGAGATATCGAACTGACCTTCTGATTCCGTTTCGTGCTATAAAGTAGACTCGAAAAGAATCGTGTCTGGGAACGTACGAGAACGAAAATCGGAGCAGATAATCAGATAATCATCAGATTTTCCTCAGATTTCGTTTCGTTCCGAAATTGCTTAAGAGCTCTATTAAATTCAAACAAATTGTACATTCAAATAACATCCTGAGTGAAGCCTTATTAAAATATTCGCACTTAAGCTAGGAGGGTAACCACACAGGTAACATTTGTTTAGTTATTAAGACAGAACAGGTATTATTTTTTACGACCCTTACCACACGGTTTTGGTACACACCTCTTTGTTTTTATAGTTACATGCTGCCAGATGCTTTAACTGTCTGGAAAAAGATCAAGTCCGATCCCGTCTCAACTCTGAAATAAATTTCAGAAAAATTATCCTCTATAATCACTTGCCCCTTTGACAAACAATTCATTTGAACAACATTCACAACTGTACCCATAAAGACATTGAAACTTTGGCTGTTTAGAGCACGCATATTATTATCTTATTGCACTTTGTCGATACTCCTGGATAATGTGGAATTCTTGGCGTACACACAGATGCTGCGGCTGCGCAGCAGGCACAGGAGACGCGCGAAGATAAACAGTAAGATTGTAATTATTTTACCAATATCAATGCACTTTGATGAAATCGTGTATATTTTTAACCCTTAGTGCCAAAGAAAAAATTGAGGTTGGAAGGGGTAAAATACATGTGCCAAAATCCAGAGCTGTTCCGTGCGAAGACAAGAATGTATCTTCGACTAGGCGGAAATTCGTTGGTGCCTAATATAATAGCCTTAGCGATATACATGTACTTAAGAATAGCAATACGAATTACATGAATTGGAAAATTATTCCTATAATGCTCACGGCCAAATTTCTACCCACGTCTTTCTGGTTATACATGTACATATACGACAGGCAGTTGTCATCGACAGCTTGAAATGAATCATTGTGTTCTAATTCGCGGTGGTTTGATAAAAATCGTGTAGTGCTCATGTGTGTTTCCACATACACGTGGATGAGAAAACCATGACAAAGGTCGCTCACTGATACCTAACACTCAGGAAGAGGGAAGTGAGAGTTATTGGAGCGATAGTTGTTACGGGTACTCATGGTCCAAGTTTTGAGGACAACTTAATTTTGAAAACGACCATACCAATAAGTGAACAGATTTACCAAGCCATTCTTCATTTTCTCAAGTACAATGTCCGATTGCAAACTCTACGTCTTGTGGCTTGTCCCAAGTTTTAACTCTTAATCCGTGAATCCATTGAGCATATTGCACCGGTGTATCGAAACCCATTGCCTTCAGGGTTCCTTAAAAGTGCTGTACGTAGCACGGTACTTTTTCGCATAAAGTGTATGTAGTTTGGCTTTTCTTGCATCCGAGATCGTAAATTGTTTGATTAGAAGGTTGGCCTGACCCGGTGTTTTTCCCGCATTCAGCCAAGACTGGAAAAATGTTTTCTGAATGTTGCCCCTCTCTTCGCTGTCAGTATTGGTATCATCGTGGACCCACTTGTGCGATCGCAAGAACCTCTTCGATTTTCCGGCGTCGATCGAGTTGAGCTCGGTGGCTGTCTCAACAGAAGCTACCGTAGACTGCGTAGCACAGACGGCATCAGAATTCACGAGGAACGCAACAGCAGCGACGAACAGGAGGTAACTGAAACGCATGTCTTGTTCTTGGGTGGACGGCCGAGAGAGAAAAATAGGAAGTGAGGTACGAGTGTTGTCGATTTACTAACGCGAAGTGCGGTTTACAGTTACGTTAAAAAGAGGGCACCTTGCATGGCACTCTACCGATATCCATTCATTGTAACTCGGGACAATACATAAAAATACGTGGATACAAACGTCAATGAAGTGATGATGCCGTATGCGGGATGCAATTCAACGAGTGCGGCAAGTAAGTTGCCTTTCAAGATGGGTACTGTAGTGTTGTTAGTAAGGAAAAACGCGCAGACTGTAGACTACAGTAAGCGTGCTGTCACGCCAACCATGACTAC